ATTAATTTATTATACACCCCTTAACCCAAACACTCCAAGGAGGATATTTCGTGACCCCGTATTTAAAGTGGACAAGGTTTATTAGTCAATGTTTTAATTACCCAGCGTCTTTAATAAAAATCTAATGTAATTTTTCATAGAAATGATCTGACATGAAAAGCAAATTTTATCAAAAAACTTTTTGATTATCTACAAGGAGTAAACCGCTGACAAATGTCTGTATACTAATGCCAAAGTAATGCCAAAAATACAAATTAAATACCAAAATTTCTCATATAATGCCCCACTAATGCCAAGCTGATTCCAATATAATACCACTAATACCACGAATAATATGTAACACATTTGTTTCACGAATTAACCTGTAACAATACTGGTAGGTACGTGCACAGATTTTTTCCTAGGTAACTTAAAAGTCGTTAAAAAGTCTAATTATATTTAAAGAAGATATAATTCCAACAAATTACATTATAAGGCCAATAATGCACAAGTAATACCATTAAAATTTTAGCGTTTTTAACTTGTGTAACATATTTCTTTAACGAATTAACCTGTAACAATAGTGGTAGGTACGCGCACAGATTTTTTCGCTAGGTAACTTATTAAGTCGTTAAACAGGCCTATAAAAGCTATAACAACATAGGTAACTAATATTTATAATTTAATTCGAGTTTTAATCTCAAATAATAAATGTTTTTACTGGTGTATTTCTGAAGTGTTCATTATTAAAAGTAGATATTCTTCAAGTTATGCGAAGTAATAAGTAATGTTTCCGGTGAGACCGCGTATATGTCACCGGATTCTGGTTAGTATAAAGACTTTTTCTATAGAAAGAGTTTTTTCTATATTTTCCTTTCAAAATAAGACTAATTTCTTCTTATTCTTTTAAATATTACAGTGTTTCTTTTTCCTAAAATGTTATACTTAATTTTCGCTTAAAATTAAAAAATCACAAATGGAGGAAAATATACGTTATTGAATAAAGTTTATACAAATCACTTTACCATAACAAAAAAGTAAAAACATGTCATGGCGGAAGATATTCAGGTGGCATTTCACACATTTATCTATTAAAATCGAGATTAAAATAATAAACTTGCGTAACATGTTATACACGAGATAGAAAGTTTCAGAATCGATTAATACGCAATACGCTACGCAGTCAACTTATTCCTATGCGCGGATGAGCGTCTTCAAGACTCTTCCTTCGGCCAGGGTCACGACGCCGCCGAAGAGGAATCGGCCTACGTTTGGCTAAACAGGCTGGACACGGTGGAGTACGATATTGGCGAGTCTGAATATTTATAAAAATTTGCAAAGTAAAATATGTTGGAAAAATAATTAATCCATACATATATAAAAGCTCAAAGGGTTTTTTTGTTGCATCCATCCCGCCGAAACCGCTTTACCAATCTTGATGATTCTTTTTTTAAATGAAAGGTATATATGTGTAGATTTGTTATGAAGTATTTTTATAGTGCTTAATGGCTATTTCTTTGTGTAAAACGACTAAATACTAAAACATACCTGAAAAACACCTACACACAATACCTCCAGAAATAAATTATTTGTCATTGTCAGTGGTGTGTCAGTTAGATTATATATTACGTTTTTAGATATTTTAGAGTGAGTTCATGCCGCCAGCTTTAGATACATAAATATTAGCACAAAGGTTCGTTTAAACGACATTAGTGAATTAGCTACACAAAGCGATTTTAGGAAATTCATCCTCTTAGAGAGTAAAATTATCTCGGAACAGTTTGTTGTATGAAAATTCCTTACTATTTGGTCTAGAAGAATGAAATCCTAAAAAAAGAATTAGAAGAAATTTTTGAAATTCATCAACCAAATGGGTAGTAAAAGTTAGTAAAAGTTAGTAAAAATGTATATAAAACTTGGTGACCTCTGGATTATACACATAAAAATTGGCACAAAGGTAAAGCGAATTTATGAAATTTATACCCTTAGGGAGTAGAATAGGGAATGAAAGTTTGCTGTATGAAAATGCAATACTATAACATTATAAACCAGACAGTATAAAATGTTATACAAGGGTTTATTTAGAGACATCATAACGAAATATATCTTCCTCAATTATCCTTCAAAGAATACAAAGAGAAAAAAAAAATAAGAAAAAATAACCTATAAAGAGAGTATTAGTGCTCTTAATAAATAAAAAAAAGATAAATAATAAAAAACATCTATGCTCACTTAACTAGCTCTATAAAGAAGTAAAAAATCATTTAAATCAATGCATGAACGATTCGAGGTGTAACGCGAACGTAGCCGCGGAAAAAAGCTAGTAATTTATTAAATTATTTTATTTAACTCATTAATTTTCATTGAAAAGGAATTTTTGTAATTCGCCACTATATTAGTTAAAAACTAAGAAACTCATATCAAATTTAAGTTTTACGATTTTGACTTATACTTTTTACAAAATCTGAACACATTTTAAAAGAAAAAAAGTTTTTGATAATATATGTGTAGATTGACTACAAGTTGTATAACATAAATTTCTACGACCGGTCTACCTAGTGGTCTGCAGCATCGCCTTGTGGTGCAAACGTGGGCCTCTTAATCTGTGATGTGACGCACAACAGCCAAGAAAAACAGAAGCGTGGCTAAGAATTTAGTAATTTAAGAAAATGTCTTTTAGATACAGTAGTAGGTATTAAAAAGTTTTGTGTTTAAATGGGGTTTGCCTTTAACAGTTAAAAAATTATATCGTAAAGTGTAACTTTCCGTAAGAATTCTTTATCTGTCATTGATCATGATCTGTCATCATGTTAACCTGATGTTTTGTATGTTATTTTGTTTTTTTTTCGAGGTTTTTTTGCTTACTTGTTTTACGGATAGGTGCGATCGCATAATTATTATTGATAATGTTTTATTTAATGTTAACATTACTACTTTTTCAGTGAATCTTTAAATCTGTTGTTTTTTGTTAAGTTCGTTATTTAAACATATGTATGTAATACACTCATATTAACACTAATCATATTTTTACGTTTTTACTCATCATTTTCAATGCCCCCCCTGTTGCATCTTTGTAAAGGACTGTGAATTTTTTTAATTTAAAACTGGTTTCAACGAATGAAAGCAAATTAGGAAAATTATAGGATCACAACTTAAGATACGTTAGTATTTGCCTGGTTTCTACCTGTTTTAATTTAAAAACAGATGCAGTTTTTTTTTTAATTACTTAAAATCGGTTTGTCCAAAATTGTTCAAATTTGGCATGTGTATTCAGCATACCCATGTGCATCTTTAAAAAAACCTATTTACGGCTTAGCTGTAAAATTAATAGGAGAACCAATATTTGAACAGTTCAAAATTTGCATGGGATTTCCCATGTTTCCAATGACGATGCACCACCTGGTATAGTAGTATTGGTCGTATCATTGTTTCGTACATTCTAACTTTTAAATTTCTAGAAATGTCTTTGCTCTTAGCAATTCTCTGTAGTATACCCATCTGGCACACATCTGTTTCCTGCGATTATTCTTTACATAATGTCCTGGGTTACATTAATTTGATTTTCTTTTAAATACGGATCCCAGATAATGTGAATCTATATACAGGGTGGCGCACCCAATTTACCTCGGTTAACTATACAAAAACGGAAAGATGTAGAAACAAAATGTTTTATGGGTATATTATGTGGTAGGCAATGTGCACAATTTAAAATTATTTTGATATGTATAGGGTGTGTCAGAACTAAGATCCTTAACAAACTTATAGTTTTTCTTATGGAACACCCGGTATTTTATTTCAGTTTTGGATTCTTGAACATAAAATAAGGCATTTATTATAAGGATTTAGTATGTTTAAAAGCTTTGGTGTTTGAGATATTTAAAGATATTTAAATATGCATGCTATTATAAAATAAGTTTGTCAACACCCTGTACATTACCTTTCAGAATTAATTTTTGTGCTGAGTTTAAAGGTATAGAAATAAACGTTGCTAAAAAATTTGATTTCTTCCTTAACTGTATACAGGGGTGTCAAATATTGCTGGTCTATTTTAAATATTTATTTTACATAAAAACTTCGTTATTTCAAATGCAACACTTAGTATTTTTTTAAATAAGTCGAAGCAGATCTAAGCGCTCTTTCAAACTATATTAGTATATAACTCTATATTTTCTATACCCATCTGGCACAGATTTTGAATAAAGAGCGATTGTTTCAATAAACTGTCAACCAAGAGGGCTGATGTCGTCATGGCAATTTTCTAGTGACAGTTATGTCAAAATCGAAATCAGTTTATAGACTTCATTTAAATTTATAGCAGTTTACTTTTATTTAAAATACCTACAATAGTTTAATAAATAAGTATTTATTTATTTATCAAAAAAACGAAGAAGTAGATCTTTGATTTCTATTAAGATGACTTAAGATGACTTGATATTAGATTTTCTATAAAAGAGCCAATTATGGCAAATTAATTTTTTTTTCAGTTCCAAAGACAGAAACTGTATTTCTCGAAGTTATATAGTTTCCCTCTCAGAATTTATTTATCTTCCCTTCTCAAAATTCATAACTGACTACCCCATAAACTTAGTTTTCTTCTCATTAAACATTAGGCCTACTTTTTGCTTGATCTTTGAGTCTTTTGGTCACCGATATGAGCTCTATCCCATCTCTTGCTAGGATAACTAAACCGTTTGCAACGGCTAGGCATTAAATTAAATTAATTAAAGGTTTACTACCTAACTGAATACGAGTATGACTAACTAAAATACATGTCTCAAGGTAATAAACTATGTTTTATAAAGCAACAAAATGTGTGTTAAGCAGAAACGATTAAAATAGAAAATTGTGTATTTTTGTATACATGTATTTGTTTAAGATAAACCAGTTACCAGCTACAAAAAAAAGTTACCCAGTTACAAAATAAGTATTTATGCGTGCTCATATCCGAGAATGTAATAAAATAAATTAATTAACATTACTGTGAAATTAGATGTATATAATAATTTTATTATTTTTTTCAGAGACACTTTGTACTTGGGTAACCAGGAAGGCTTCAATAACCAACTTAACGATTTAAACAAGAAGTTTACTTATTTCGTTCCGCGCAACAAAGCTTGGGAAGACGCTAAGGTCGTAATGCCGTCCGCCATCAAGAAACTTTTTATGAGGGATTTCGCATACCACGTAAGTCGAGTGAATGAAGGGAAGGCGAAAGGCAAAGAACCCTTAAATATTTAAACAAGCCTTGTCTTTCGTCCTTTAAAAAATAATAGGGTTTAAGATATTTACGTGATGTGTCTGCATGTGTACAAAGCTATCGTAAAAGCTCTAATAAAAAACTCTAATCTCAAATTTCCAAAATGTGTGTTCGTTTTTTGTATTACAGCTTGTTGCTTTCAGCAAAAAAACTGGAATTTTTTCATACAGGGTATCCCAATAGTCTGTAGGTATAGGTCTACTACTAAAGGGCCGGCTATACGTACAATCTTTACCACGAGCTTACCTGCGCAAATCTGTTTGTATCGGGAACTCGCTGTGTGTAGACGGTAAAACGGTAGCACGCACAAACCAACAAGTGCGGCCTGCGCAAACGTCGCGCTGCTAAAGATTTTAGTTTGCGCAAACCAGTTTGTGCGGTGATATCATACGTGTAGACCAAGGTGTAGACGGTATCAGCGAGTTCAAGGTACAGTTTTGTGACTTTTGTGGGTTTAGTGTTATTAGTTATTAACTCTTAGAAAATATCTGATATTTGTACTTATTCCAATAAGGAGTTTATGAGTTTTATTGAAATATATTGATCGCTGCCATGTCTATGGAAGATAAAATTGAAATATTATTCCGATAGAAACAGAAAAAATGATGCGTACAAGAATATGGTTTTCTATTTAAGTCAGTTTTTACTCCACTTGGATCTATATCGTTTATTTTGCTGTTTTTTCTTTAATAATAAGTAAAAAAAAACAATAATTCGTCACTTGACATTTACGACCAACGGAACCACAAATTCAGAATAAAAATAATTATGAATGTACGCTCTTACTTGCATCGTGTGGACACCGCACAGTGTTCCTTCTAGTTTGCGCAAACTATACCGTGCAGGCAAGTCGCTGTCGTGTAGCCGCCGCTTTAAAGTATTTTTGGATTCAAAATAAGTTCATTGGACATAATTTAGCTCACAGCCACACAGAAAGCGTTTTTTGCGTTTTTAGCGTGAAGCGTTTTTAGCGACTAAAACAAATTAACAGGATTATATAGGAGTGGCCCGACCAAAAGGGTCTAGGGTTCGGCGTGTCTCGCAAAAAACGCAAATGAAAACAAATCAGTTTGTTTTCTGTAGCGGCTTTAGCGATTTCTAAGATGGGACCCCATCATATGCGGACGTTATATTTAATAATACAATAAAAATAAATTAAATAATATGCATTTTTTCATTTTAGGGTATTATTTAAAAATATTTTTATAGAGAACTTCTACTGTTTAGGAAGATTCTATTAAATTCAAAAATTTGAAGGAAATGTTTGAAAAAGTGTAGTTTTAAATGTTGAAAAAGTAATAAATTAAAGCAATATTTTCTTACGCGTAAAAAATCGTATTTATGCGTAAATAGTGTTTTTTTTCTGCGTAATAAAGTTTTTTTAACAGAAACAAATAGTTTTTGACGCGTAAAAAATAGTTTTTTACGTGTAACAAATAGTTTTTTACGCCAAAAAAATATATTTTTTAGGTAAAAAAGTTTTCTTACCAGAAACAAGAAGTTTTTGACGCGTAAAAATTAGTTTTTTACGTGTAACAAATAGTTTTTTTACACGTAATTTTTTTTTGGGTAAAAAAGTTTTTTACAAGGAGCAACATTTTTTGACGCGTAAAAATTAGTTTTTTACGTGTAACAAATACTTTTTTACACGTAAAATATATTTTTTTTGCGTAATGTCATAGCTCGTATGTCATGGCCTTGATTTTTTACTCCCAGCGCGCGTAAAGAAGTTTCACTGCAAAAAGTTTTTATATAAATTATGTCCTAAAATTGCCATGTCCTAAAATTGGCGTAGTCTGTTATTCTACGAAAAGAATATTTATGTTTTCTTAAATAGAACACCCTGTATCTTTATAAATTAGATGACCTAGCTAGTTAGCTTGCCATAAGTTTCTGAAAAATATATATCACTCTATATTTATTTTCACTATTTAGGTACTACAATATTTAAACGTTCTTATTAAAACATCATATTTATTATTAGAAGGTCATGATTGATAATTAACAAAACTAATGAATTATTAAAAGTATACATGTATACATATATGTCTCTTGTTTTATGTTGGGAGCCATTAGTAATGTTTTTATATATTAGGAAAACTTAACTCTACCGCTATTTGTAAATCTTGGAATATCGTACCAGAACTTTTAGATATTCCTTTAGCTAATTTACGTGAAAAATACTCAGCAAGATGGGGCTCCCCTCTCAACTTTGAAAATATTAGAATTTTGTTAAACTATTATTTCTCAAATCAATGAATTGGAACCAATGGACCCATATGATAGCCTCCCTGATTCCCGGATTTTTCCGTTCTCGTTTTTTGATTTTGGGGATTTTTTTTGGACTCTTTTTGATGCTTTAATATATGCAAGCTTTTAGATATTTGCAAGCCCATCTCGTTATAATAAATTTAGTTATAAAAGTAAAGAAAAATACGAGGAAAAATATATTCAGATATTTTGTGGTAACAGTTCAGAAGTAAAATATATCAATCCCAAATAAAATTTTAATATGTGAATGACTATTTTAGTAAATACCATTTTGATTTTTTTGTTATTTATCACGGCCTACTAATAAAAAAATGATTTATATTAAATATTGCATTAAATAGTGAAAAAAAAATTGAGTGATATATATTTTTGAGAAGCTCATAGCAAGACGGATCATATGTTTTATAAATATACAGGGTTATTAAGATAATATATATCTTTAGTTCATATTTTCAAAAATATTTTTTTCTCAGAAAAACAGGCTACGCATATACATATTCTGCGTAAAAAGTTCTCCAACAATCAGTTTTTACCTTCTCGATATCAGCCACAATAACGGAGATACGGGGGCTGTCCCAAATTACAAAATTTACGAAAAGACCCTGTAGCTCAGAAACGAAGAGGGCTATGAAAATTTTGTTTACAGTTTGTTAACAAATTTTGTCAACCAAAATGGCACCCTGTACATAATATAATACCATAAAGCTCTAAAATTAACAATATCTGTGCTATAAATAAAATAACAAGACGTTTTTAATCAATATAATCGGATAACTTATTAAAAACATCGTAATTTATATACTCTATAACACTTCATTTTATATTATTAATTGTTAAATAACTAAAACTGCTAATGCTAATAAAACTTAAGCTAAAACTCTAAACGTTCTCTAACCCAGTGTGAGTACATATTATCAAAGTAAAACCTCTGAAGGCGGGTAAGGGGACAAATAACTCACAATCTTTAAGATGTTTATTTAAATTTAAATGCTTCAAAAAAAGCAGGGCGACATGTTTCGGGACTTAAACTATTCCCATCATTAGACCCAGAAAGCTGAAACAATTACAATCAGAATAATAGAAAATTCCAATAGTCAAACAGAGGTCAAAATTATAAAATACGATCACAAAACAAATTAAAAAGTTAATTTTTTTTAAAAAGGTTAAAACGTTATTTCTTTCACAATAATTGTTCAATCACAGATAACAATATGGTAAGCTCAATTTGAAAATTAAAACAACTAGACTAAAATCATAAGGTGAGGGGAGCCGTATAATCCACTATAATTAGATAAATTGACAGAAAAAACAAACAAGGCAATAATCACATCATACCTCAATGTACAATTCAAAGAAATTTACTGAAACATTAGTCAAATGTATTCTGAGGGATAATTTTTTTTATTTTTTGTATTAGTCATGTTAGTTAAGAATTATGATTATTTCAATTTGTATAAATATGTAGATATTTAATTTTGTAGGATAAATTTTTTAGTTATGTTAGTTAGGAATAAGTTTAGAATTATGTTTATTTTCATTAATTTGTATATGTAGAATTTTAATTTATATTTTAGTTTATATATTGTAGAAAATTAATTTTTATTTTAGTTTAATTTTTATTTTAATTTATATATGTAGAAAATTATTTTTCAAAAATAATTTCTTTTTTAGTGGTCATCAAAAATAATTTCTTTTTTTTTAAATAATTTTCTACATATATAAATTAAAATGAAAATTAATTTCTAAAAATTAAATTAAAATAAAAATTAATTTTCTACAATATATAAATTAAAATACAAATTAAAATTCTACATATACAAATTAATAAAGCAAAATAAAAACACTAAATCACCACAATACACCAAAACACTTTTACTTTTACACTGGACGCGCGTTTCGCTAACCATGTTAGCATCATCAGCAGATGATTGTAATCATGATTATAATCCAAAACTAAAACACACCAAAACACTTTTACTTTTACACTGGACGCGCGTTTCGCTAACCATGTTAGCATCATCAGCAGATGATTATAATCATGATTACAATCATCTGCTGATGATGCTAACATGGTTAGCGAAACGCGCGTCCAGTGTAAAAGTAAAGTGTTTTGGTGTATTGTGGTGATTTAGTGTTCTTATTTTGCTGTGTAACACCAAAGGTTCCAACCCTCAACTGTAATCAAATTAATAAAAATAAACATAATTCTTAACTTATTCCTAACTAATATAACTAAAATATTTATCCTACAAAATTAAATATCTACATATACAAATTGAAATAATCATAATTCTTAACTAACATGACTAATACAAAAAATAAAAAAAATTATCCCTCAAAATACATTTGACTAATGTAAGTAAATTTCTTTGAATTGTGCATTGAGGTATGATGTGATTATTGCCTTGTTTGTTTTTTCTGTCAATTTATCTAATTATAGTGGATTATACGGCTCCCCTCACCTTATGATTTTAGTCTAGTTGTTTTAATTTTCAAATTGAGCTTACCATATTGTTATCTGTGATTGAACAATTATTGTGATAGAAATAACCTTTTAACCTTTTAAAAAAAATTAACTTTTTAATTTGTTTTGTGATCGTATTTTATAATTTTGACCTCTGTTTGACTATTGGAATTTTCTAATATTCTGACTGTAATTGTTTGAGCTTTCTGGGCCTGATGATGGGAATTGTTTAAGTCCCGAAACATGTCGCCCCCCTGCTTTTTTTGAAGCATTTAAATTTAAATAAACAACTTAAAGATTGTGAGTTATTTGTCCCCTTACCCGTCTTCAGAGGTTTTACTTTGACTTAAGCTAAAAATGTTGATTCTAATAGCTTCAAAATAATAGTAAACTGTGTTATCCTTGCGTAAAGTTATTCCATATTCTTTTACATTAACTACCAAAGGAATCATATCCGATTTAGTTTAATATAATAAGTACAATGTGCGTACTTTTTTCCCTGGGTAAACGGATATTTAATCACTGAAACATAAATCTAAAAAATATCAAAGTACCTTAAGTTTAATATTTTTTGCTTGCCCTAAAGCACGCCACTGCCATCTGTAACACATTGTATAAAATATCAGACCATCCACTTGAATACCAAAGTGATGTATTACGTGCTGCTTCAATATTTCAACATTGTATTTGATGTTTAGATCCTAAATTTATAGACTATAAACCCTGAAACCTGATATGTTGTTCGATAACGGAATTATGACAACTTCGAGAGCATGTACGAGTCAACAATGTATTAACATACTTTTTTAATTTAAGCAATTTTCCTCACAAAATAATATCACTAGTAACATAAAGCAGATTCTGTTTTATTTTTCTTGATAAGATAATGAATACTTACTTATTAAACTATTGTAGGTAAATTTAAGTATACTGTTATAAATTATAAATAATAATGTCCATAAACTAATGTCGACTTTGAAAATAGTTACTGTCACTAGAAAATTGCCATGGCGATACCAGCCATCTTGATTGCAATTTTATTTAAAAATGGCTTTTTATTCAAAATCTGGGCTAGATAGGTATAGGAAACCTTAATATAGTTTGAAAGAGCATTTAAATCTGCTTCGATTTATTTAAAAAAATACAGGGTGTTGCATTTGAAATAACGAAGTTTTTATATAAAATATATCCTTAAAATAGATCAGCAACTTTTGATAGCCCTGTATAAATTTAAGGAACCAATACCATTTTGCAGTAAAGTTTATTTCTCTACGTTTAAACTCAGCATAAGAATTAATTCTGAAAAGTAATGTAGAGGGTGTTAATAGTCTATTCTATTGTAGCATGCAAATTTAAATAGTTTTATATATCTCAAAAACTAAAGACTTTAAACATATTTAACCCTTATAATAAATGCCTTTTTTTGGGCCCAAGAATCCAAAAAAGAAATAAAATACCGGGTGTTCCATAAGAAAAAATATAACTTTGGTATGGATCTTAGTTCTAAACACCCTGTATATTTCAAAATAATTTTAAATTGTGCACATTGTCTCCCACATGTACCCAAAAATATTTTGTTTCTATATCGTATAATCAACCGAGGCGAATGAGGTGCGCCACCCTGTATAATATTATACATTTTTATTATACGATTTATTTATTACTCTAAGAGATAGTACTATGGTATTTAGAAAACCTTCTTTTTTACTTCTATTGTCTTTATTCTGTCAAAATTTAGATGAAATTTTGGGATAAAGCAATCTTTGACAGTTTCAATATAATTTTTATCCATTATTTTTATTTTTATTGAGCAGAAAATATATTTTTTGTAGTAATCTTTATTTCTTTATTTATCGATAGTACAACAAAACCATCTTTTTAATACATCTAGGCTACAACTACTTTACAACGGCACCTCGTTATATCAGACGTACCATACACCATGGAAAGAATCAAGCAATTATCTAAGGCTAACGAAACGGTTCAAAACTTAGGACCTGGCAACAATATTGTTCATCAACCGGGCAACGTCGAACTTCCCACATTGAGAGGATCCCTGAAACTTTATGTGGAAGAACGTGCAGATAACAGTGAGTATCCTCAAAAATAAGCTGAAATGAAATAATTATCTGTGATGTCAGAAATATCTTCATTTTGATAGAACACCGTGTTGTCTGTTTCAAAATTATATCATGAATGAACATAAATATTTATTAACATTATTGCTATTTATTTCTAATAAATGTTACCTTCTGAAATTATTTTATTGAATTATCTTCAATATTAAATGTTTTTGGTCATATAATGCTTACATTAGAAGAACCAAATATAGCCATACTTTTAATTATTAGGTACCTATATTTCTTAATAAAGACAAATATTTACCCAATCTGCTTGCTATTTCTGATAAATTATTATAACAATTTTAATCAATTTATTTTGTGAATTGTCATTAATATAATGTTTTAATCATATAAAACTTTCATCACTCATCAACTAGCCATCATTCATTATAGGAAAGAATTATAAATGAATCCACCTCCTACGTATCAAACAGAATTACATACCTCCCCTGATGTAAGTGATGAATGAGTCCAGAAAAGGGTTGTTATTGGATAATCAGTTTATAATTTTGTTTTAGAGGTAAACTTTTTTATAAATGTTGCCACAAGTATATTTTATTTTGAATAGTGACACAGTTATTTCTATATTAATATTTCTGTATAAACAATTTGACTATAACTCCTTATGTTATATTTTATCATGGATAAATATGGTTGTATCAAATAAAAAATAAATATCCCTAAGAGAAAATACATTTAAATTTATAATATACAGGGTGTCCCAGAAATAAGTGCTGGTATTTAAGGGGTGGTCTCGGGGGTGGTAGATCTGGTCAAGAGAAACGTCTTTTCTCTTTACCATTTAAAAAAAAAATTATTATTCTTATTTATTTTTTTTATAAAATGAATTGAAAATAACCAAGTACAATTCTTTTAAAAGTTCCTCAATATGGCCGACCTAGTTAGGAAAATTAGTAATTTTTTTAATGAAAAATAAGTTGGCGTTAGCGAATTCAGAAATTGATTTAGTCTTTGGTCAACAATAACATTTTTCAGGATTGCCAAGTTGACGTTAAAGTTAGGTTATTAGGTGGTTGTCATAAATAAAATATAGATTATTGAAATTATTTAATAAGAATAAAGGTATTTTACAGCAGATTCGAAGAGATTTTACTTAAAGGTATTTTATAAACTTTCTCAGTGAGAATAGTAACTCCCCACTCTCCCCAGTTTCTTATATTTCAGTTAAAGGGACGTAAGAACTATAGGAAGTGAATTTTTGTTTTCATGTTTTGACGATATCTGAGAGTTCCTAGAATTATCAAGATTATTGAATAATTATAGTTGTTTAATAAGTGAAATTAATAGAAGACTTGGAAATAGGATGATGCGATTCATGTTATAGTTTATAGTAGTGATAAGCCAAAGCGTGATTTTCTGTTCACAGGCTTACCTGTGACAGCGACTTTGTATTATCTGTGACTCTTAACTGTGACTGCGACTTTATGATTATGAATCCGAAAGCACAATCACGGCTAAAATATAAGATACGATGTAGAAGAATGTAGAATGTTTAGGAGGGGAGTTAGTCACCGCGACCTTAAAGATCTATTGTGCGTTCCCCTTTCTTGAGTTATAACGAGTTATAACTCATCATACAGTCTCAAGGCTTTAACAAAAGCCAGTATCTGAGACGGCTCCACAGAGGCTAGCTCGATAAGATACGATACGTATGATACGATTCTGTTGTTGTTGTTATACTAATTTTTATTTGTCCTTTATCCAAGGCCGCTGAAATAGAAAACACTAAACAGTGGGTAAAAGGTATATTAAAAAATAAAAATAAAACAATTTTTTTATTTAAAGAAACCAACGGGAAAAGAATAAAATATGCAATATGCTCATAACCATAACGAACGAAACTTAACAACACGAGATAAGTAATACATTAAACAACAAATATTTTCCTTTGTATTAAAATAAACGAAATATATAAAAAATGAAGTTTCTAAAAAAAATAAACAGTATAAAGGTAAAACTTTATGTTTGGCTTTAAAAAACCTGCTAAACTAAAAAGGAACCAAACCGATTCGTAGTGATAAAAAATAGTAATAAAATATAAAATACATAAAAAATTAAATCACTTCTAACAGTCACTGTCTTTAGATCACTTTGTCAGATATCTATCCTATGAGACGTACGTCGTGACTCGTGACTGTGAACTGAGTCACGACCGGCGCCATTGGCAGCTGCGTTCGCGACCCGCGACGTCCCGCTCTGTGAAGTATTTTCTCGTTACCAGAGAAATCACAATTAGCTGTACTATCACGCTTTAGCAAGTCACCGTTTATTTTCAAATCAGTCACAGGCCGTGACTGTGATTATAGAATATCAGTGACAAAGTCACAGTTACCGATATTTCACTCATCGCTAGTTTATAGATCACCTCATTTCTCTTAATTTGTTTTTATTTCAGTACAGTTAATCACAAATTGAATTGATGTGTGCAAAAACAGCTATATATTTTCAAACATCTTATTTAAATAGTTCTTTTATATACTGTTAAACTGTATCAACTACAAAGTCTTTAGCAAAAAGTTATAAGGTAATAAATTTTGTAGATATAATTTATGAAAATTTATATATAAAGATTAGAACACAATCCTCTAAGGAAAAAAGAAATACTCAAAAACTCATTAAATATACTTTATACAATAACAACATACAAAAACATCCATGCAAACTGTAATAATCAGAACATTATCCACATTATACCTTTATTAAATTTGTGTTCATACTCCTGTCAGGAAAGCCAGAAATGTTTGTTTAAATATTAACTTATTTTAAATTGCCAGAAACACATCAGAATATGTCACAACCACAACTATAGGTTTGGAATCAGTACTAAATTTTGTACCTAGTAAGTAATGGTCAACTAACAAGTATAGAATAAAAAAATTATTAATATAGGGTGTACTATACAATGTCCTTCTGCTTATTTATGAAATTACTTTCCTTTCAAATGTGAGGAATACCAGTAAAATAAAACATAATTTTTGGTTTGGTTTGGTGTTTGATATTCTAACTACATCTATTACAAACCTTCTGCTTTTAGTGAGTAACTGTATTTTTTATTATTCTTTGTGTATCCTATAAAGTAAAAAAATATATATTTCAAGAAATATGTAAAAACAATGCAATAGATATCAAACAGATTCATAAAAACTACTTACAATTATTGTACAAATTATATATTTCAAGTGTTATTTGATCTTTGGTCATTACCAACATTACCTTATTTAGGTCTTCTCTACTAACTCAACTTTTAAACCTGTTTTAAACCTTCTTTATATTTTAAAACTGATTTACAACAAACTGTAATGCCCACGCTGTTTCCTGAAATATAAGTTTTAATCTATTTATTATCATATACATATTACAAACCTGAAAATTACTGATACGAGGAAACTTCTCAAAATAATTAGAGACCTTTTTACAAACATCTGGACTAATTTATTTTCACGAATTTGTGGACGAGTCAACGTTTTCTAATACGTTTTTAAGCGTTTTACACATTTTGAATATCTTCCAGTCTATTCCTCAGTTCTTGATCGGTGAAAAGATTATTTATAACTATATAATTAGTACTTCAGCCTGCACGTTAAATAAAAGAACAAAATCAAGTACAATTTGTGAATAAAATCTCAAAAAATAATGAAAATATTTAGAAAAAGGAACCGTAAACGTCAATGTCAGCCAAGTGTCAGAGTTCAATTGGATTTACCACAGATTATCAATTTGAACGATTTGAACTACAGTCGATTCCAGTCTAGAGATTTTCGTCTTTTAAGCCTCCCATACTGAAGTCCGCCATATTGGGAAGTTTTAAATGAATACAAGTATATTTAATTTTGAAAATTTTAAAAAATAATGGCAACATTTTGAGAACCACTGGCGATAACCGCCTATTAAGGGTTTTTCACGAGGTTTTTCAGCTTGTTCGACGCCCTGTGTTGCCAGACAGTCAAAGGAAGTATGTATATGCCATAATTAGTGAAATCTGAAATCCCTGGAATGATGTGATCTCGGTATGAATAATATGGTGAATTATTTTATTAAATGTAGTTCTAAATAAAGTTATTTTGCGGTATAACCATGGTTTTCGTAAACTTCATACGAATAATTTTACACAGTTTGGTTCTCATTAAATGGGTAAGTATACAAACGAAATATTTAAAAGAACTTTTTTTTTAATTGAAACTACTTCGTAATATGACAATGTTAAGAGTTATTTTTTAGGTATATGTTGTTAAAAATAAATATAAAAATGAGGTATGTGCAAAAATAATTAATGTGGTTTGTTTCTAGAATTGTTGGTAATAGACACTGATACGATTAGAATTAATTCTCGTATTTTTTTGTGTACAAATTTAAAATTACAGTGAATACAAATAATATGTTGAATATGGATAATGTAGGAGGTGGCAACAACGTAACATTTTGATACACCGCACACACGGCATCTATGTTGAGCTTGACAAAATCTAGGCTAATTTTAAATATTAAAAATTTTTCCATTCAACTAGAGTAGTCCAAGCGTTACCGAAAATTGAAGCAGTTCGCACCTTTCGTGGAGAGCAAAAGATTGTCTTTTACACCCAGCACAGCCATTTGAATGTTTTTCTACTGGCAATAATATATGAAAAAAAGCTTGTAATAAACTTATAAATTCATAATTTAAAAATCTGTCTTCCTAAAACTAAAAAAAACCTTTCTTGACATTACAAGACTGGTATAGAAATTAGCGCGACTATTTATTATTTAATTAAAAAAAATATTTATTTCAAAAAAGGGCAGATTTGGGAAAGCTGATTTTTTTATATTATATATATATTTTTATATATATTAGTGATTTTAATTTTATTAAATTAAAAGCGGAACTCCGTGGAACTCATAACTATAACCCATTATGAAATTATAAAAAAATAAACCCAATATAATGTGTTTAAAATATATCTTATCTACAT